CCGGGCTCCTCGATTGGCTCCACCCCCTCCCCCCTCCCCAGCCCCGCCCCGCGATTCGTTCGCCACGCCCACCGTCGAGCCACAATCGATGGGTTTAATTGACCGTTTAAGAAAAAGGAAACAGATCGGCCGTTCCAGGTTAAGCCTTTCGTGCTCCCTCCAACGTTATTGCCGTCGCCGCCGGCTCGCTCCGTGGATATAATCGCGTTTTATAGTTGTGTCAGATGTTACGAAACGTTATAAGACCGTGCATCGACTGGCCTTAACCTTTCGTATTTTACGCGCGAAGTCTGCGAACCAGTTTCGCCGCCGCCCACCGCCGCGGTCGCCGGGGAAATGCGGGAACGACCGGATTCGGCGGCGATTTTGATTAAAGTTCGCCGACGGTTTTAACGGACCGGTTCGTCTGCCGAATATTCGTGCGATCCACGGAACCGGTTCTTCGATTTAACGATCGATTTTGGACGGTAGAATTGATCTCTTCCGTCCGGAAACCGATCGCGATGAACATCTAGAACAGAATGCACTAATAAATGAACGTGTCGGTTGAATGAACGAGTTCAAATTTTTATATTACTACGGGATTCGTTCAGCGAACAGTTGCAGAAGTTTCTTCTTCGATCGCCGTACACGCCGGCCAAATAAATATTTAAGCTCGCCGAATTAATTAACCCTTTGTATTACGATTTCTTTCATAGATACATCGATTAGCACTTTCTCTTTCTTAATGATTTAACCTTAATAGAGAATGAGACAAATGAGCCGTTTATTTCGAAAGTGGCATAAGTCACTTTACCGTAATGAGAAGTGGTGATTTTTTAATGTTTATACGAAATTATTTATACCGAGAAAAATATCAGTATCCTGAGATAACAAATACAAGTAAATCTTCTCGAAAGTTAGCATCCATATTGTTAAACGTGTTAAAACGCAAACCCTTAAATATATCGACTTAAAAACAAAGTGACTTATGCCACTTTCAAAATAAACGGCTCAAATGTTGTTTCTTGCACGCTTCCTGTTGCTTTTATTTCTAGATTTATTTGGCAGAATCTTATTTGTAATTTTAACCCTTAGGGGACCAAAACTATTTATTTCCAGTTTACACACCGCCAAGTCCAGACTGTTTTTCTCAGACGAAGAGAAATTTTTTACTGAAAATTTTTCTATCAAATATAGAGAAGAGATATTCATTTTTAAAAAATAAAACTTCGTTGATATATTTTCATCGAAACAATCGTGCCCATTCTTCCAATGTTTCCTGCCAGATTTTACGGTTTTATCGATCTCTGCTGCGTGTATGGCGGCTTGGACCGTTAAGGGTTAATTTTATTCGATTTCATTCGGAAGAATCAAATTTTATTTCGCTTAAAAGAAAAATAAATAGCATTCATATTTGGTAGACTGCATATGAAATCTTCATCGCGAGGCCGACACGTTGTTGCAGTGCAAACGGTTAACAAGATTGGACGCAATCCGCTGGAATAAAAAAAGAAATCTCATCTCATGGTGCACAGGGATGTTGTACTTACACGAGCCAAATAGGTTGATCGAAGTATCTTCAACGGTTTCCGAGAAAAAAAATTTGCAGAGATCACTCTCGCGTCTGTTACACGATCCCATCCGATTACACGTCCCTGGCCGGTAAACAGGCAGGAATCGTGCTCGTCATTCAATCGACGCGCGTTCTTGCTCTCTAAATATTTGCCGCGATACACGTTTGGAAGTGCCTTGTGTTCCACGGGCCGGTCCGAAAGAGAAACAGGAAATTCTCCGATATTTTTCCGGCGGCGGCGGCGGCGCCCGCGATTCGATCGAGTTAACGATTTTCGTTTGCCGCGCAATTAGCTTCCCGTCGAGGGGCGGTCGAGAGGTGGCCGGGGGGTGCAAAAACGGGGGAGAGTCGAAACCGAGTTAACCGGTAATTCGAAAACACCGTAGTAATGGCCGCGAGGTTAATGTCGTTTGCGAAAGTTCGCCGATTATTGCGAAACGGCCCCCGCGGAACAGGTTCTCCTTGCACCGCTTCCGTTGCAACGTTGTGCCCACGCTTTTAGCGTTTTCTTTATTTTTTATCGTCGAGCCGCCCCGAGAAACATTTGCATATTCGTGGCCCGTTATCAGTATGCGAGGATCCGATGAAATTAATTTAAACCGGGTCGTGTAGGTCGAACGGCGTTCCCTTTCTTCCGAACGTTCGACCCTCTTTTTTTGACACCTCTCTCTCGTTTTTTTCTCGCGCCCCTGTGCCCTTCCGATTTGGTCGCAAATTTGTTCCGGTATCGTTTGGACACGGAGATGATCGTTTGAAAATGTTCAGCGATCTCATTTCGTTGATAAAGTTTGTATAAATCGGATAATTGGAGCGGTGCTGTATCTTTACTTTGTTTTCGAACATAATTAACTTTATATTCATTGAATAAGACATATTAACCCTAGAAAGATAACCATATGACAACGTACGTAAAAGATAACCATACGCTTCAGAGGCGCATGCTTTTCTAAGGCGTCAATTTTATACTAACAATGGATATTTATTTAAGTTAATCCAGTCATTTTAAAGGTTTGGCATTATTGTAAAAATAAAATGCATTTATATTATATTTTTTTATATTTTAAGTAATTTTAAACTTAAATCACTAGACCTCTATGAAAAATTAACAAAAATCAACAGTCTTCGCAGGCGCCTCTGCGACGTAGGTTATCTTTCTCGGGTTAAATTCCTTTTTTGTGAATAGACAAAAAAGAATAGAAGTATTTGATAAGTCTTTTTCGTTAAATATAAAGCTAATTATTTTAAAAAATGAGTAAAATATAACGATACAAAAATGTAATATATCTTATTCGATAAATGTAAAGTCAATTAAAAAAAAAAAAATGAAAATAAAAAAGAATCGAAACATTAAATATCTTATTCGATAAATATGAGGCTATTTATGCAAAAAGTCACAATTTGTCACTTATCGATAACCGGTTCCACCGCGTTTGTCCGCCTTTTTTGCCATGTTTGTAACATAGTTGATCCAGTGGCAACGAACATTTCCATCGGCGAAACAACGAGCAAAGAGAGCAAGAAAATTACGATTGTATTCAGCCAGTGAAAGGTTAAGGCGCACTAGGTTAGCTCGCAGCCGTAAAAATATACGTAGCATGTACAAAATGAATAAATTAGAAATGTGTACTGTTTGAAATTACGAGCTTAGAAGCATAGGTTCGTCATCCGTGAATACGAATTTCTCCTTTCACGCTGCTTCTCAGCTTGATATTTCCGCGGATATAAAAAGTTGAAGGGTAGGAGGAAGCGCCGTAAAGTTCCATTCTGTCTCGTGTGTATTATTTTCAAGCCTCCGTCCGACTTTCAACTAGAAGAAGATGGAAAACCGCATGAAAACCAGGAGTCTATCGATCAGCTATTATTAGACCGCAGACCTTTACGTGAATTGACATTTTCGAAGGACCGTCTACGAATCGGGAATTCCTTGAAACATCCTACTAGAACATCTCCTTAAAATTAAATATTGGGTTGGCAACTAAGTAAGTGCCGATTTCAGTTATAAATGTCTCTCACTCCCATTTTTATGATATCCGTAAATGTTATATTATAAAATTATTATTATTATTATTATGTTATTTTTTATTATCCGCGAATGTTAGCAACTGGACAAATTGAACGCAGCGGTCAAGGAAAAGCGAGCAGAATTGGTCAATCGTAAAGGTGTCATTTTCCAGCACGACAATGCTAGGCCGCACACGTCTTTGTCCACTCGGCAAAAATTCATGGATATTGGTTGGGAATCGATGTTACACCCACCATATAGCCCTGATCTCGCGCCATCGGATTACCACTTATTCCGATCCCTGGACAACTCCCTTCGTGGTAAAACTTTTAACGACGATGACGCTGTAAAATCTCACTTAACTCAGTTTTCGGCCGAAAAGGATCAGACTTTCTACGAGCGTGGAATTTTCAAGTTGTCAGAGAGATGGCAAAAGGTCATCGAACAAAGTGGAAAATACATTACAGATTAAACTTCGTTCCAAGTAAACATAAATTTTTATTTCATTGAACAAATCGGCAATTACTTAGTTGCCAACCCAATAGAATGTTGTCCAACGATCTTCACGGTCTTTACGTAATTCCGGTTCCTTGCTGCAAAAGATTGCATATAAAAGTCCGCGATCGCGCGCTTAGTTTTCCACGGGTTTTCCGACGACCATCGATCCGAGTCCCATATCAAGGCCCTATTAACCAAACGAAAATAAGCACGAAAGAGAAACGGAACAGAATCTGAAACGCCACAGAAATAACGAAAATACGTGCAACGTGATATGGAACGTCACCAACCAATCCCACGCGACGGTATAAACGGAAAAAGAAAAAGGTATACTACGTCGCGACGGTAAGGACGGGCCATACCAAATGAACACACGTATACTAAATCCAAAAAACTGGACAGCCATACTTGCAACCTTTGCTGAAACGAAAGCCTCGCGGTAGATCGCATACTATACGAACGCGGAACGACAAAGACAAAAGTTCGTCGTGAAACGAGACACCGGCGTAACAGTCGAAATTTGCCTATTTTCGTTTCCAGGCTGTCGGACAATGTGAGGAGAAATTACTGTAACGGTTTGGAGCTCTCTGTTCTCTTCAACGACGCGAACGTATTCGAAAGCAACTTGGGCAACGTGTATTCGAGAGGACTGTAAATATTTACATTAGCTCTATCTCCCCTTCATTAGCTACCAAATTTCGAAGATACCGACGTCGCGCTCTCGCGGACAATTTCTGTACGACGAGTTTGTATGTATGTAGTTTTTCGACCCATTTCCGTCGCTACTAAGGTTACGTCGTCGACGCGACGTTAAAAAGTCCTCGGAAGGAAGACGAAGAGGACGAATGTATCCGTGAACAAATATATATTCGCGAACGGTGCACGATTTTGCAGGCAAAAGATCCAAGGACCCAGCGAGAGTTCGGTGAATCCCGGTGTCCTAAAAATTTCGCATCGGACGACGAGGTGTTCCGGCTTGACCGTCTGCGACCCTGAAGAGAGCAGGTACAGGCCGGTCCCGCAGCGCGGATCTCCGAAGAGTAAGAACTTGTTCGGATTCGCTGAACGCCGCGCCGCGCCGGCCTCTCTCCGTAATTACATTACCCGGGCAGAGAGCGGCGGGAACGCATTGAAAGCAACAAGAAGAGCCTAAGCCTACTGGAGCAGTCGGCGGAACAAGGACAGAGTGGACGGTGCACTGTCCGACCGGGCCAGGGGAGCTGGAAGGAAGCCCCATTGTGGCCAGGTTGCTTCTCTCTTCAGCGAACTCTGCTTCCATTTCCTCTGATCCTCTCTCTCTCTCACTCTCTCTCTCTCTCTCTCTCTCGCTCGCGCGCTCGCTGCGCTCCCCTCTATTTCTTTGGAGCACAGACTCCTTCCAGCGTGGAACCCGAGCGATTCTCAGGTGCGCAACACATTTCGGTCCCCTATTTTTCTTCTCGGCCAGCGCCAAGGCCTTTTGTCTCCCGTTCATTCCCCCCTCCGCCGTGATCACTGCCCCCTCTCGCCCCTCATTTCCCCCACCCGCGGATCGCTTTCTCCGTTTATCGTTGGTAGCGGGCCGATAGCCGATAGCGGTCGCCGCGACAGTTGGTACCTGGCGAACGGCTGGAGAACGCCGACGTCTCGCGTGTCGGTTCTCGTGCTTCCTCGGCTCCTCGCGCGTCATACGAAACGAAACGTCAAGCTGCCATCGTCCGGCCAGTGTCTCTCCTCGTGCTCTTCCCTTCTTCCTTCCTCTTCCGTCCCCGAGTCCCCCGGTGGTCCCCAAGAGGCCCCTCTCCGACGTCCCGCGTCCCTTCGATTCCCTACGATTCTCTCTCGTCGCAGTCGAGACTGTACTCCGATCTTGCTCCCCCTCCAAGCATCTCAGCAGATCGCGCTCCTAGTACCTTCCATCCTAACGTCTCTTCAACGTTCGCTACCTCCGAGTCACCTGTGATCATTTTCTGCGTCTTGGCAGTGCCTCGTCGTTTTCGGTCCACAGAAATATCTCCGACTGTTTCATCCACGTTCAGGTATTCGTTTCTTCGATTCGACGTGTCCTCTTCACCTTCTTCGTTCGTAGTTTCGATCAACCCGGATGCGACTAATCGGCGAGTGCTCGAGTGGTTTCTCGTGTTCCTGAATGTTCTCACGAATGAAGCTCGTGTAAATCGGTCGAAGATTTTCACCTTTTCTTCTTCATATTCATCGCTGCTTACTACTCGGATCTTCGCGACGAAGATCACCTGACTCTTCGAAGCTGTTGCTTCGTCATCCTTTTCGCCGGTGTACCTTTGCTCGGGTCCGAGATCGGTGTATTCTCGCGTGTCCGACGAATTTTTGTTCGTCACTTAGAATTTCGAACGTCGTTTCGAAGATTACTTAAAACATTTCGCATATCGTCTTCCTCATCCGACGAATTCTTGTTCGTCACTTAGAATTTCGAACGTCGTTTTGAACGTCGTTTCAAACATTATTTAAAACATCGTTTCGCATATCGCCTTCCTCATGAATTTGAACGCCGTCCTGAACGTCATCTTGTTCATGATTTTATCCATTGTCGCCTTCGTCGTTTCGAATATCATCTTGACCGTGATTCTATTCATCGCTTTACTCGTCACTTTATTCGTCGCTTTATTCATTTTCGTCATCGTCTTGTGCATCATTTTCTTCGTTATCTTCTTCATCGTCTTGAACATAATTTGAAAGGAAAAAGAACCACATCGTTTCAAACGTCATCTCTTCGACCATCTTCATCGCCGTCCTCTTCAACACCTTGATCTCACATCGTCCACCGCAGAGCCGCTGTCAGCCATCTTCGACAGTCCGTTCGCGGTCTCTTGGCGAGATCGCATCGCGGTTGAACATTGTTCGGCCGGTTCGCAGTGAACCCGCGCGAGTGTGTGTCTGGCTCGGTGGTGGCTGGCTCAGTGTCGGTTCGATGTTCGGCTTGGGAAGCAGGAAGGTGCTCAAGTACTCGGCCATCGACACGTCCCTCTCCATCGACGTCGAGGACACCGTCACGTGCTTCTGCAGGTCAGTCATCGCGCGTGCTGCGTATCTACTCGGGCGCGCGCGCGCGCGCGTGTCTCTTGCTACGAGTTTAGCAGCGTTTATACGTATGTATGTACATAGAGAGGTGTCTTCGACGACTCTGTTCGTCGCCCTCGCCTCTCGGTCCATGGGGGGAAAATTACGCGCGCGTCGTCGTTCTATGGAACGACGGATCGCACGGCGACTTTCTCCGTGAGAAAGGCCGGAGCCTGACTGGTCCGAGAGATTTCACGCGCTTCGAGGTTGCACACGCGGTGTGTCGGCTTTTTGCTGGAAACGGGACTTCACGGTCGCCCGCAGTTCGCGCTGTTGCGAATTTGCCCGCAGATTGCGTCGTACACGTAATTGCCTCGAATATGGTTGGATCTCGAATCTTTGAATTACTTAACGCAATAAGATGTACGAATTTTTATTTCTTTGTAACGTTTTAAATTGTTATGTCGCATTTATTTTATTTTTATCTTTCTCTACTTTTTATCTTATTTTTTAAATATTTTTCACCTTTCTATCTTTATTTTATTCTTTTAGATTTTTATCTTTTTATTTTTACTCTATTTCTCTATATCTTTTCTGTTTCTTTTCACACTACTTCTTCCATTCTGTTTTCATCTTTGTTACCTTTTTTTTTTAATTTGTCGTACGCGCTGCATACAATTTTCTATTCTTATTTTATTTTTGCATCTTTTTTGTGCGTTTCTATTTATTTTTATCTGCCTATCTTTTTATCACTTTTTCCATTTGTCGCATCGACTAAATGAAGCAATACGAACGATGTGTTGTCTGCTTCGCTAGAGAAGAGAACTAGGAAAATATATAACCTTGAGCGCTTGTAGCTGTGTGCTCGACGCACTCGCGCACACGTAATTTTCATTGTGAATTTTATCTGATAAGAAACGAGATGATCAGTTTATCGAGCCTTGAAACTTTACAGCTGTTATACTCGACGCGCTCGTGCACGGTAACAAATGCACGAAATCCGCGCGGTCTCGACGATTGCAACCTGCTGCTTAGCCAGACTTGCAGAGACGTTTCTGCATAATTTTCCATTCGATGAAATACTTCGTGGGAAAATACGCTGCCGTATAACGCTCCCGTTTTATCGAACGCGAAGTTTTCTCGCTTGTTCTCGATTCTGTGCCCGCAGGATCGTAATTCGCCAATAACCAGACTACGGATGTTTATGCGAGATAAAAAGTTCGCGCATCGGTTGCAAGAAACAGGAAACTGCGCAAGCTTTTATTCCAGTCTTGAATAATTTCAATGCGTTATAAATAGACCGCGGATTTTGTGCAATTGTGGCGAAATCGTGTGTGGTCGCCGTTTAAAATAGGAAAACGATTGAATCGATTACGAATTGTCAAGGTATTGGTTTCAATTTATTAAAATTATTGGTTGAAGAAACAACTTGCTATTTGGTTTCGGTTTTTGCCAATCGATGCGAACAATTTTTATTTTGCATAAAACTCTTGCTACAAGGTCTAATTACAAGATAATAACATACTGTCATACTCTAAAGGTCCGGTTACAAATAATACAATCGCGTTCGTTTTCGACTCATTTTTGTCGTAAATGCGTACAAATTGCGCGGTCCACGGTTTAAAATTGCAATAACAGGAGAACAATTTTTTGTCTTACGTGAAAAGTTCGCGTAGATTCTGTCATTGAATTAATTTCATGTAATGGACGAACGAATGTTATCGCGCGTGCATAAAATCAACGGTCTATTAATAACGATGGAAATTGCAATAATTCGATTGCTTAAGTAATTGACGCTAACTATCTAAACGTCGATCGGGGCAATTGCAGGAAATTATATCGAACGAACGCGGAAAGTAACTCGCGAGATCGATCGAACGGCGTGGCGTTTTAATCGTCGTGATCGGTGTGCAATTAGATCGCGTTTCGACCGACTTCGTCCCGCGTTTAACGAACATAATTTGCACACAATTCTGCCGAGTTTTCCCAAACAGGAGCAATTTCGTTATCCCAGATTTCTAATAACCGGAGAAAACCCGGAGATTGTTAGCGGCTCGCGCGGCTTTCGCGCGTTTCCTCCGTTTTCGATTAATTGGATTCGACTCGTGCCGCGTTAATCAACAGGTGATTTAGTTGTTCGGTGCGACTAGGAATAGGTGGCGCGCGCGATAGGCCACGTTAATTATTCGGCAAACAATATCCCGGGGATTATCATACAGATTGTTTTCACAGATATACGACAGGCGTTGTTCTCTTCTTTGCCTTTTCGATTAGGCCGACAATGTGATACGTGCTCGAAGATAACGATGCGATGGCGACCGCCTATTTTATTCTCGTCGATCGCGATCCGTGGATCGACAGCTGCTCTCGATCGCTCTAATGGGCACGATACGATCGTTTTCTGTTAACGAGTTCGGTCTAATTAAGTTCGAATAATACACCGATGGAAATATTTGCTCGATATTTCACGGCTTATAAATGTTGTCCAATTAAAAATATGCAAGTGTTTTTTTGAACATTATATCTAATTTAGAGCAATTTTAATCTCTCTCTCTCTCTCTCTCTCTCTCTCTCTCACACACACACACTCTCTTGAGATTACTTGCATTACATCGAATGTGCGCGTTGTCAAAATTATATATGTTTTACATTTTTACATTATTTCTCACAGGTAGTTCGTACATAATAGACATATATTACACACGATGTAATTATAAAATAAAATATAATTGAAATACAATGTAATCGAAATAAAAATAATAAATTGAGCAATTTAATTACAGTTAAATTAAACAGTCGGAACTCCGACACCGACGTTCAAACAAGATTTGAAATTCACGCCCGTATCGGTTTCGTCGAAAACAAAATTGCGAAAGTTCGCGCGATTTTCCGCACACGCCGTAGCAGGAAGTGCTTCGAGCGCAGAATTTCGGTGTCGTTCGCGGGAGCTCTCGATAAGACTTCGATTCCGGCTCGTCGGTCGGCTGTGTTTGCATATTGTCTCAGCTCTCGCGTTTGAAAACGTTGGCCAGCTGTTATCAGTTCGTGTAAACAATGATCCGGGGAAAACGAGCGCGCCGCGCTATACGTATAGCATCATCGCGCTCGAACAGAATCGAATCCGTGGTTCGTTTTAACGCCGCCGCGTCTTCATGCCAAGAGTGTACCTTCGCCGAGAACCATTATTTAGCGAGATAATTGCCGGCCCCCGGTATCATTGTTTCGCGTTTTCTTATTCATTAGGAACGGCACGTAAGTGGAATCGACTCGAGAACCTGTATTGTCTGTTTCAGTGGACACTTGAACGGTCTGCTCTGGTTAGATTAATTGGCTGCCGGTGTCCTCGAGAGATGCAGCTCCGGCTTCCCGATGTTCCTACAGCTTCTTTTTCCTTTCGTTGCCGCGATCCCGGTTCCTGCTGCACAACCGATTCAAGAATCCTGTCAAATAACGCTCGAATGTGGCAGTCCCCGTTCGAATCGACTTTAGACACGATACAAATTTTAATACAAATTAATACGAATAAAGAATACGTTCTATTTAAATTATTAGGGTGTCCCATAAGTTTCTTCCCTTTTTTTGATGCGAAATGAATACACGATATTTTTTGTTTAAGATGGATTTATTATGATATATATGAACCGTTCTGTTCTATAACCTTCTTCCATCTCTCAGGAAGCCTCATTATGCCCTCTTTCCAAAATTGTTGAGGCTTATTTGCAAAATATTGTTCAAGGTGCGTTTTTATTTCGCTTACGAATTTAAACCGTTTTTCACGGAGAGAATTTTTTAACGAGAAGGACAAGTAATAATCGGGATGGAGCAATGTCTGGAGAGTACGGAGGATGAGGTAGAACGTTCCAATCGAACTGCAATAATTTTTGTCTTACGAACAACGCAACACGCGGTTTTGCGTTGTCGCGATGAAAAACGACGCCGCGTCGGTTCGCCAATTCTGGCCGTTTTTCTGCTATG